GATTTTATTAACAGTTCATTAAATTTTAGACTACGTATAATTTCGATGCGGATTGTAACTTAATTCAGAATTTAAATTAAGAAAATAACACGCAATATTTTACTTAACCAATAGCAACCAAAGTGTGATCAAAAAAAATTTTTGGAATGATCTACGTTTTTGCGCATTCCCGAAAATTGGTATCACGTTTACAAAAACTGTAGCACGCAAACCAAATGGATTATCCAAGTCACTTTTAATTTTAAATTATCCAGCATGACTAAAGAATTTTTTACAACTTTGTCAGAAGATTTTTCACACCTTCTTGATCAGCCTGATGATTATAATGTATTACTTGAAATTGGAGAAGAGCCCAATGTAAAAATATTTAAAACACATTCTGTAATTTTACGTACTAGATGTTCTTATTTTCGAACAGCTCTTTCAAATGAATGGATAAGAAAAGAAGGCGAAAAAGTTATCTTTAAAAAGTCAAATATTTCTTGCACAGTATTTGAGATAATGTTAAGGTTAAATATTCCAAATATTTATCTTAAAATATCTTGTGAATTCTCTTAAATTAAATAAGTAACAAGTAATATCCTACATGAAATCAGATACATGTATAGTGGAAAAGCTTTATTAGGACAACTTGAGGGTTCCAAGATACTAAATCTCATCACTGCATCCGATGAATTATTTCTTCATGAATTATTTAATTATTCTCAAGAATATTTAATTGAACATAGAGTTGAATGGATGAGGCAAAATCTCGTGCATGCCTTACAAATTGCTTTCAGGCATGATGCGTGTGTAAGTTTACAAAATTTTTGTTTGGGACTCGTTAATGAAAATGCGTGGGCATTATTCCAATCAGAAGAATTTATTTCAATTGATGAAGTGGTCTTAATGTCGCTTTTAAAACGTGATGACTTTTGTGTTGAAGAAATTGTAAGTCATATTTAACAATGTTTAAATATCTAAAACGAGTGATATTTTGTGATTTTCATACGTTTTATTGTTAGGATATATGGAATTTCTTGATAAACTGGGGAATTGAACATACACCATCAATTCTCGAACGAGATATTTCGAAATGGACATTTGAAGATTTTACACTACTAGGAACGACATTACGTAACTTACTTCCATTTGTCCGATTATTCCAGATAACACCTAAAGATTTTTATCATAAAGTTTGGCCATTTGAACAAATTTTACAGAAAGATCTTAAAGAAGGATTATTGTCATTTTATCTTACAAAAGAACCACCAAAACATGTCCCATTGCTTGAACCAAGAATTTTAAAAAAAAATATTGATTCTGAAATTATTTCTTATAATCATGCTGCATTGATTACCGGTTGGATTAATCGTAAAAATCCACAATCATTATTTGGTCTGTATTCACAAAACTTTAATTTAACAAAGTCGTCATCCTCAACACCAACATATTTTGATATCAAAGATTTTAGAATTAAAGATAAAGGAGCACATGTTCCATATCGACTTCGATTGATATATAGAGCATCAAGAGATGGATTTACCTTTGATTCGTTTCATAAACATGTTGATAATAAAGGTCCAACCGTAGTATTCATCAAAATTGGTAGTAACTACGCAGAATGTATAGGTGGGTATAATCCGGTTGGATGGTATTCTTATGGGAGTTATATAGCCACGGGAGATAGTTTTATATTTTATTTGCCATTGAATGAAGATGAAAGTCATAATAGTCATAAAATTAGCCGAATTAGACCATATTTTATAGATGGAGCAATATTTGATACGTCAAATCATGGTGCATGTTTTGGATACGGCGATATTTGGTTCGGAAATAGAGAAAGACCAAGGTATGGATCCTGTACCCGAGTTTATTATGAAAATACAATAAGGGATACAGAAGACGAATTTTATGCGGAAGAAATAGAGGTATTTCAAGTTGTAGAAAATTAGGATTCTTGTAAGCTTGTAAGTGTTGATAATTTTAATTTTAATTACATCTTCAAGCATTGTAACCTCCACATCTCAAATTGGATTTCCAAATTAGTGGTACATCTAATTAGTGTCTTGTGATATTATTTATTATTTCTCTTGAATACATTATTATATAATTTATTTTATTTATTCTTTATAAATATCAATTTCGAAATAAAATAATTAATACATGACTAGAATTATTATTAAATGTATATCGATATTGATTAATTTCTTGATATTGTGATGCTCTAAGATAAAATTTTACAGTCCCTGTAAAACTGTTATAAGGAATTGCAAGTCTTTACATACACCAAAAATGTTTTTGTGAATCAGGTTTAAAGAAAAATTTTGTAAATGCAAGTACCCGTAATTGGTAATGGTTAGCAAAGTGAAATTGTGACCATCTATTAAAGATGCAACTACCTGCAAAAATCATAGGTCGTACGCACATAGTTACAGGGGATTTCAAATTGCAATTGAAGCCGTGAAACCTTATGGATGTTTATCGTCGGTTCGACCCGGCTTGTATATAGATAATGATAAAAGATTATAAAATAAAGTTGATAGCATCCCTAGTTGAGTTAGGTATCTTAACCTTATTTAGATTAATTAATGTATCGAGATTCATCAATGAGTGGTTATATCGTAAACGCGTATTCCCTAATTTGTGACGTATCTCGTGTATGTACATTGCATACTCTAAAGATGAAGAAATACAGCATGTACTACTATTTGGTATTGTTGGGTAATTTTATAAGGTAATTCGACTGGTTATTAAAGAAAAATACACCATTATAATTTAATGTGCCAGCTTCCGGGGTCCTGAACGGGCCTAGAAGTGGCTTATTTTTTAAAGTCAAATAAACAAGTTATTGGTGCGTACATTCAATGCATTCAATAACGGTATTATCCGGCAGCTTAGCATGATCAGACTGCTAAGTAACAAAGCTAGTATACATTAAAGTTTTATATTAAAATGTTAGATATTATTATATATAATAATATAATGATAATTTATTCCCAAACTCGTGAGTTTTCGTAATACTTTAACTGTTATACCAATTTAATTCATTAATTCAAATGAGTTATTTCTTTCTTATGTTACCAAAAAATGAAAATTATGAAAATTAATCCTTAATCTACATATAAACAGGAAGCTTCAAGAATATCTTTATCTTCTAAAGCAATAGTTATAGACATATAAATTTTGAGTTGTTCACGATTTTGTGAATATCCAGATTGCCAAGATAAATTACTAATCCTTTTCGTTAAATGTCGACCAATATTCATTCCGTATTTATGCAAAAATTTGTACCCAACAGATCCAAAAGGTTTAATAATTTTATCAATGGTTTCTATTATAGCTGATTCTTTAACATATGGCTGTCCAATTTTATAAGCTGGAGGCCATCCATTTCTACTGAATGTGATTATTACTTCAGTTTCGTATGTTGCCGTAACTTCTCTAACAACTTTCATTAATGCTGTCACAAATTCATCTAATCTTTCTGCTATTATATTTAACGGAGGTTCTTGGGTTTTAAAAGGAATTTGATAAAAATCTAATTCATCTTCTAGTTCTTGAATAGATATTGGTGTGGTTATTTGTGGCTCTGATTCAAGAAAATATTGTGAACTATTATTGTTGAGTGGCCAATATAATTTTCCGGTACGATAATATTGAATTATATAACGAAATAAATTTCCATCGCGGTCAATAAAATATTCTTTCTCGTTGATCGGATTAAGTAGTTCGACATTTCGATTAGCAAACATTGTGCCGAGCAATGTGTCAGGATAAGAGATTAACGTTGATCTATATGTTTCGTACTAATGATAAAAAAATGAGGATTTTAGATTAATATGTTTAGACGGTTAATAAACAAAAGAAATTTACCTTTATACCACCAACATTTAAAATTATAGATTTTTCTCGAGAAGAAACATTGCTTATAGAATTTTCAGAAGCCATATTGTATGTTAAAATCGCTACTTGTCGTAGGGTATGAAGAAAATTTTTAAAATTTTAGAAATTAGAAATGATCGGATTTATAACTTTATAATGTATGTTGTAACCAGAAATGATTAATTTTTTTTACGTTAAATGTATGTTGCACCGTACATGCGCGCTGCAAATAAATTCTTTTTTCATATTAAATTCTATACTTGTAACATAAGGCATTTACTTTATCATGATAGATAAGGCCTTCAATAAATGACGTATGGAATGCAAAAAAAACAATTCACAAAAGATTAAATATAATTGGTTAATTCAAATAGTTACTATTTTTCAACTGTTATACAATGCAAGGAATATAATGACAATATTTACTTGCGTACATATATAAAGTGATGTGCTAACGCTATTTCTACAAAAATTTAATATTTACCCCGGTTTAGTGCATCCCCACATACGGAAGTCCATTGACAGTCAGCAATAGTGAGACAAATTAAACAAAAAAAAAAAAAACAAAAAAAAAAAGATGTTCTACTATGAATAAACATTGCCATTCAACCCTATTTTTCTTCCTTAAATTTTGGATAAAAATATGAGGTAGAAGGGCAGGAGAACCCTCTAAAATTTCCCATATTGTATAGTGCGTCTATATACGTAGTATGTATTATACGTATATGTATAGAATTATGTACGTAAATATCTTTTTAGCTATTGAATTTGCAAAGACTTAAAGTAGTGAACTTACTAAATAGGAACGTTATAAACAATACATTTTAAGCACGGCGCGGCACAGTCTTGATTAGCGCTAGGTAGATACAAACATAGGCGCTCTGTTTAGGATTTTTCTTGTAAATGTTTGCATGACAATTACTATTGAGTCTCTAAATCTTTGCTATGGATCTACTTCGAAAATCAGACCCTTTATGGATTCTTGGTAGGAATGTGTAGCACGAATCTGAAATCCAAGGTTGACAGGGCATAGGATCGATTTTTCTGGTCATGTGATTTTCCGAGGTAAATTGTCTAACAGGAGCGACCGTCATCGTTACACAAATTGCAGATCACTTCCGAGATCCTCCCACCCAATCAAAATTACGAATTTTAAGAATCGAAATCGAACGAAATTTGAATTAAAATTGTCAAAATTTATATTTTAACTTTAGTTTAAAATACCTTAAACATTACAAAAATAACTTAAACATTACTACAAGACAGAAATATGTGTCTTCATGTATTCAATTATCTAATTAACTATTAATTATTAATTATAAAAAAATCTTTATTTCGCTTCTATATTCAAACTATATCTAATCTTAACTCAAACTTCTCATTTATAATTCGACTATTATTTTACTAGCATCTATACGTCTATATTTGCGTTTGTGCAATATGATGATTATCATGTGCTCCGAACACACAATGCTACGCATTAACCTAAAAGTTTATGTAAATTTATAACATATAAAAAATTTAATTTTGTCTAATAATTACTTTTGATTACTAAAAGGTATTAAGTTAAAATGATATTCCTTAGTCATTTGATCTGTTGAATGACAATGACTATGAAAAGATAAACAGTTAAGGACTGTTCCACATTAAATCCTTGGATTTAAATTACGCTTATCTCGAAACTTGGCTAGTAAATCGCCTTTGGAGTTCTAGCAAAAAATTTCTCGTGCAACTTTACTGTAGGACACTCCATATGCCCGAATCTTAACATAAATGAGTCTTCGAAGACAATTTAACAGGAGCGACCGTCAAGGTTACACGAAATGCAGATCGCTTCCGAAATCTTCCCAACCAATCAAATTTAATATCACATGATTATCAGCCAATCACAGTTGAT